TCGTGGAGCGGATCTGTGAGCGCTTGCTGCTATTGGATGATTTAGAAGAATACACCAATAACGGCGAGTACTCACGGATCTGCTTCACAACAGTTAACAGTGTTGCCAACTTAGCTATTTTCTGGCTAGATCTAGCTATTTTTTCTTCGATCTAGCTCGCAAAAATTGACTTTTGCCATTAGCTATTTTTCTGGATATATCTTTAAAGATAATACAGAGCTAGCTAGCTATTTCTTATGATTTTGATTCTTGAGATTTTTTATTGGATACCAATCGTCGTACATTAAAATTTTCCAACCAACGTAGCGTACATACCCAGAAAGATATGCAATGAGAGCCTAGAGATGGCGGGCCACTCTACACTTTTCTACACTCATCCTATTTGCAACGACTCCTTTGGCAAAAAGTACAGTACTTGTAAGGGGAAAATCCTTTTAAAAACATATAGGGGAAAATCCTTTTAAAAACGTTGCAGACATAGCGTTATTATTTTTGGTACTTCCAATGTCAAATGCAGAAGTTGAGCGTATCTTTAGCCAACTTAACTTAGTAAAAAATAAAACAAGAAATAAATTAAGCCTTAATATGATAAATTCAATACTTTGTACGCGCTATGGCTTAAGAAGGCACGAAAAATGCTGCTATGATTATGAATTACCGGAAAATGTATTAAGACGAATTGGTACTAATGAAGCTTATCCCCAAAAATATGAGAATTTTGATTTACACGATTTAGTATTTCACAAATGTTTCTCTTAATTTAATTTAATCGATGTTTTAATTACATTATATTCTATTATATTATAATATGTTCCTAAATGTTACTCATTACGATAATATATAACATGTTACTTTGTTTATTTTATAATAATATCTATGCTCATGTGCAATTATAAAAACTTTTTCTCTCAAATAAATTAGTATTTCTAATTATAATCGTATTTTAAATATATATTTTCCTTAATTTTTAAAATCTAGCAATTATTTAGCTATTTCTGAAGTGTCGTCTAGCGTTTCTTTTTTTCGAGAGTTGGCAACACTGACAGTTAAGCGGGGAGCACAAACTCTTGCATAACGCATAAAACATGAGGCATAAGAAAATCAACCAATCAGTGTCCTTTATTTCATGGAAAAAAAGGGAATAAAAGACTTTGATTGGTTCATTTTCTTATGCATTATGTGTTATGCGTTATGCATAAGAATATGAAAGAAACTGAGAACTTCGATTGGTACATATTCTTATGCATTACGTGTTATGCGTTATGCAAGAGTCTGTGCTCCCCGCTTAAGTCTGCTGAACTTGACCAATAAATAAAAATCGTAAAGATAGTAATTTCAAGAAATCGCGATTTTCTCAATTCACAATTTTCTAGCGATTTCGCGTCCTTTTTTAGCCGGGGACATATGGTTCCTCAAGGTAGCTGTATTCCTCGCACTTTCCAGTTTTTCCACCTTTCCTTTTCTCTCTCTCCAACGTCTTAAATTATACCCCTCCATTTGTTTTCAAGTGTAGAAAGTACGACGTAGTGCAGTTATCGAGAACAGCCTTCACACGTTTGAACGTATCGACTTCTCGTTATGTCGAAACGAAAACGATGTAATAAAGAAAATTATATTTTTCCGTACCTCCTAGTTAGTGGTGGGTGAAAGAAGGCGGTGTGCCGGATCAGCGAGGAAGAGCGTAGCTGAGCAATCTGATTCGTTTCTAAGTCGGTCCAAGTCAGTTCGCCGAGCAAAACATGGACGCCGTAACGATACATACGTCGGATCCGCCGCAGGGCGAGGACGCGATCACGTCCGCTATGAAGATATGCCGCGTCTGTCTGCTCGACAATCTGATGATGCGCGATCTCTTCGCAGAGAGCGAGGTCGCGTCCCTATCCGTGAAGGCGATGAGCTTCGCCAACGTTAAGGTTAGATGCACAATTTGAAGGTTATGTGTCGATGTGATCGGAGCCCCGCTTTTATCATCGCTCTCCCTCTTCTAATCCCGGACAGATTTAGATCTCTCGTCGATGATCCTCTAATTTGTCGCCATTTCCGTCTTTCTATTCGGCTTAAAATAATAAATTTCGGTTTATATCGAACCTTGTACATTTTTAGCCTTTAACACCTTTGCTGCCATCATAAAAATATCATAAGAGGCCTGTTCTTTTTAACTGAACTTTTTGCACGGTTCATCTTTCCTATATGTCCCTTCACATTGAAGAGAAAAAAGAGAAACATGAACAAGAAGTTCATCTAAATGGAACAAGCTTATTACTTTCTTAAATGCCCCACAGAATAATACATATTATGATAAATTATTTGTTATGATCAGGACTGAGGCACGTGGCATGCAAGGAAAAATGTAGACATCACTGGCAATGGCTGCGTTCGTCATAAAAATCAGCTTTGCAACTGTTGTAAAATTCTTGAATATTATTGATTTATACATTTAGATCAAACGAGGAATTAAGGATAAGACCAATCATATGAAAGAATTTTACAACAGTTGCAAAACTGCTTTTTCTACTGAACGTAGCCAATGGGCATGGCAGCAAAGATGGCAATTATAACATTTTGAAATAACTTTTATTCTTTTAGAATAGAATTTATTATACTTCAGCGTATACAGCCAAGAAGGGGACTTGGTTTACAAAAAAATCTTAACCCACTCATTCTTCCATTCCTCTTTCGCTCGTACTCACAACCTCTTTACTCCTTATCTTAATAACCTAAATAACGTCTCATAACTTTATTAAACACTATTTACCATATACAATATAAAAAACCTAACAGCTAACAAAACTATAACTATATATATAAAACAGAAATACAGGTACTTATCATACACCTTTGCTCTTAACTCTGCCGTATCTACTTTCCTAATATCCCCTTCGTTCTTGGTTATCCACTCCTCTTATTCCCTATATTCCCATTGTCTACCTTTTACTTTCCTTTCTTCCTACCCTCCTTCTACCCTTCTTCTATGTTCTCACCTTCCTCTTTTCTTATTTCCCTCCCTCTTTTTACCTCCTCCCTCTCTTTCCATAGTTTCCTTAACAATTCCCCTTTCTCCTCATCTAAGCTTTCATCCTGTAGTCTCTTTAAGATCTCTTTATTTCCTCTCCCTAAACTCTTAAACCTATCTTTTATTTCTCTACATTCCCCTATGTAGTGCATCATATTATCATTACCATTTTCACAGAATATACACCTATTCTTATGTTCTCCCTCCCAATATTTATTCCCTTCCTCTAAGTTCCCGCATCTTAATTTGAAAAGTGCTCTTACCTTATCACCTCCTTTTCCATCCCCTAAATTTTCTTTCCTCAGGTATTCTGGAACTTTGCCCTTCACCCCTATTTCTTTATACCTCCCGTTGTACCTCGCCTTTTGTATTTTACCTTCCTTCCACTGTCTCTGGACCTCCCTCTCTCTGTTTATTAGTAGCTTTTATTCTTTTTGAGTAGAACCAATGCCAAGGACTTTCTTTTGAGATATTAAACTTTCTGCTTTGATTAGATGTTACCAGGCGACGGTTTACCGACACAGGTGTGCTGTATGTGCGTCGACAAGTTGGAATCGGCATACGAGTTTAAGTTACAAGTGGAGCAAGCTGACAACGTTCTTCGAGAAAGGCTTATGGGAGGACTAATAAAGGACGAATTATTTCTTAATGAGGTTGAAATACACTTGGATGCTGAGAAGAATAATGGTTTGGAAGAGATGAATGACAGTGCTGATTATGAATCTACTGATACATTGCCAATTGAAACAGAAACTGACAAGAACTTTCTGAAAAGTCAATTAATGATTTTGGAAGCTGAAAAATTGGCAGAGACAGATGGTATGCAACAAGGTGAGTAAAATGTAATCAATACAATGATGTTTCAAAATTCGAATTAAATATTGTTTTTATATAATAATATAATATTTTTAAGTTTCCGAATATCTTATAATATTGACTCTATTGTTTAGATACAGAACAAGATAACTTGCAAGAAAGCATTGAGGAAGAATTGCAGCAAGAATTAGCCAGCTCGGAAGACAATGATATGTCAGATGCTATCGATGAATCTAGGGATGAAGTATCTTCCAACAACAAGAATATTATTCGAAGTTGCACAGATGCAATTCCAACAGATGAACATAATTATATAATGCAGCAACAGTGTATTATTTTGCATACTGAACAATTCTCCTTCCATAAAAAAATGCAGGAGACCGTACCAGAATTTAAACACGATATAACGAAATACAAAGAGTCGCTATCTGAACAAAATCAAGAAAATCAATCTGAGCAAAACCAAGAGATTCAGGTTGAACAAAATCAAGAAATTCCAACTCAGCAAATCCACGAGACTCTAGCTGAGCAAACTGAAGAGACTCCAGTTCAAAATGTTCAAGCTGAACAGGAGAATCAAACTGAACAAAATCAAAATAAAAAAATGGAATTATTACAGAATGAAGTATTAAAAAATGATACTAATGAGCCAGTCATGGAACAAGAATCACCTCAGAATGAAACTAGAAGAAGTAAACGTAGATTGGTTCGTCGGACATTCACCGAGCGGGATTCCGATGAGGAGAATTACTTTGAAAATTTGAATCTCAGTTCACGATTGAAAAAAGCGCAGGCAGATAAGACAGAGAAGATCTTTTTCATGTGTTACTTGTGCGATAAACAGTTTCTTTCAAAGAGCGTCTTGAAAGAGCATATGCATTCCCATGAAGAAGTAAGGAAAACATTGTCTCTGAAGAAAACGCCGGAGAAACCGCAGAAGGTGCAGACCAGCGTTTCAGCCGTGAAAACGCCGCCATCAGGAAAGAAAGCCAACAAGTGCCCTTATTGTGGTAAAGAGTATCTGTACATAATCTCGTTTACTAAACACATTAAACAACACGAGCGAGAGCGGCAGGAAGCGAAGGAAGATCCGATGTCGTTTGAGATGTTTTATGAGGATGAGTACAGTCTAGACTTAGATAACGACAACAAATCGGATGTTGAATGTAGAAAACGAAAGAGAGGAAGTATAGTCGACGATGTCGCGAGCGACAATGATCAGGATAAGAGAAGAAAGCGTAGTCTTATTGAGGAGTTTGCGTGTAACAAATGTCTAGAAAAATTCGATACAAAGCGAGGATTGCAAAAGCATTTGCTCACGCATGTTAGCTTCAAGTGCAGCGTGTGCAACGAGGAATACGACACTCTAGAACAACTAAAAAATCATCGAACAACGCATGTAGTCGAAGGCGTACTCACTGAGCAAGACTTGGAAGAAGACATGAAGCAAATGGCCAAGTGCGAGGAGAATGATGACAACCGCAAGAACATCAAAGATGAAGAGAACAGTGAATCCGCCGAAATCACGAAGGAACTAAAGTGTCCGACGTGTTCAATAACATTTTCACGCAAGAAAGCGCTCTCCAGACACATAGAGACAATACACTCCGACACCCATTCTTACGAATGCAAGATATGCTGTCAACAATTTACACGGAAGGATTTCCTACGCAGGCATGCCGAGCAGCATGCACGAGTGAAGACTTACAAATGTACCCAATGTAACAAGACCTTCGGCAACGAGCTCACGTTGAGAAATCACCTGGTTGCCACAAATCACAAGACATTTATACAGGGACAGGAATACGATCCCAACAAGCGTATAAAGCGCGTGGCGGCAAGAGCAGCACAGAAGATCATCGACAAGATCAAGACTGAAGACGGTCTCGAAGATTACGACGATGATAACGATGATAATACCGATTACGACGTCAAATTGGACGGGCATTATCGCCGTAAGCGCGACGCTACACCAAAGAAGTACAGTTATAAGAAGGAATTTGAGTGTGCAACCTGTAATAAAAGGTACAGCTCGAAGCAAGCGTTGACGAGGCACATGGAGCAACATGTAAAGGAGGAAAAGGCAGAGAAAGCAGTGGAGAAGGCGGCGGAGAAGCAGAAGAAGACCGCTTTAGAGAAGAAGGAAGCGCACAAGAGCAACACGGGCGATAACGATGACGACGATAACAACTCCGACTTTGAAAGTGGTCTTGATTGGCCAGTAGACAGCCATGAATGCACCACGTGCAAGAAGCAATACAGTACGAAGAAGTCGTTACTGCGCCATCAACTACTACATGAAGAGCCAAATTTCGAGTGCGATATCTGCAATATCAAGTTCTATCGTAAAGACAAACTGAAGGCGCACTACGATAAATGCTCGGAAAAGAATCCTGATCAGGTGAGGAAGTGCAACATCTGCGGCGACAGTTTCGAAAACAATGAGATTCTGCGCGAGCACAGAGCCAAGCACGTCACCGAGGGTATCCTAACGGAGGAGGATCTGAGAGACACCGAGCCAAAATCCGAAGAAAAGAGACTAAATGATAAAATGACCCGGAAGAGGAGGACCGATATTGTAGGGCTCGAATGTACCGAATGCAACAAACAATATACCTCTAGGAAGGGCTTGCTGCGACACATTCAGGTTCACGAGGGCAAGAAGTACCTATGTGAAATATGCCCAAAGAAATTCTATCGGCGAGAACATCTGAAGATTCACGTGGCAAAACACAACATGATTAAACCATACAAGTGCACTCGTTGCTCCAAACGTTTCATTAAGGAGGAGCAGCTCAATAATCACCTACCTAAGCATGATCGCACTTTTAAGAAGAACAAGGAGACCGACAGCTCGAAGAGATTCCTCTGTGAGATCTGCAGCAAGAGCTTTACGCAGTCGACAACGCTGCTAGCGCATCTGCGCGCTCATAAGGGTATCAAACCGTATGTGTGCGAAGTATGCTCCAGGCCATTCACCACTAATGCCTACTTGAAGATGCATATGCGCACGCATACGCAGGAACGTCCGTACATCTGCCAATATTGTTCGCGAGCGTTTGCCCGTGCCGACACCTTGGCTAATCACCTGACGTCGCACACTGGCGAAGCCAAGTACCACTGCAAGTGCTGTCCGAAGAACTTTCGGCGATTGAAATCATTGAAGGAGCACATGTTTATTCATACGGGTCAACGACCTTACGAGTGTCCAACTTGCGACAGGAAGTTCAACAATAACGGCAGTCGCTACGCGCACAGCAAGCGCTGCAAACAGAATCTTTTGCAGAATCAGAACCGGGCGCAACAGGTGATCCAGCAGACACAGCAGCAACAGCAACAGCAACAACAACAACAACAACAACAACAACATCAACCACAGCAAGTGCAAATACAGGTGCAGCCAGAACCGCATCCAATTAGGTTGCATCAAACCACGATCGGCCAAGCACAAGTAATCAAGGCGCAAAACATCAAAACAATCGCTATAGCGAGACAAGCTGAGCCTACGGTAACCACGCAACATCAGGTTATGCAGCATCAGGAAATACTAATGCCTTTAATCCTACCACTTACCGTTACTCTTGCTGATGTAGGCGAAGAGGTGATACTACCTGAAGGTACAAAAATATTTACCACTTCTTAATCGAGCCATCTTTTTCGTATTTGATTATAATATGGAAAGAAAGGGACATACTACTTGTGAAAAACTATCTCGATGATACTTCTTCAATGATGAATGACTTGAAGTTTTGTTCTCCTAACACCCTGTGACTATCATTTTCATTCCCACAATTCCTTATACGCACGGAAAATCTCGAAATGACAATGAAGTAGCTCACGTTATTGAGGGATTTTCTTGTATATTGGATAAAAAAAGGGTACGATGCTCCACTAGGTGATAGAAAAGGGTACGATAAATATATGAATTTAAGAGACAGAGTATCATTTTGATTATGTATAAAACGTTATATTGAAGTTTATTTTTACAACGGTGAAGGCGTTAATAAGCGATACATATGTATAATTTGTCTGGAAGTTTTAAGATATATGTACTAGCATATTTCATATGTAATAGCGTGTATTACTGGGAATGAATAGTGTAAACGTCTTTGACAAATTCTGAGAAGACAGGAAAAGACAGATGTCTTTGTTATGAATGTGTTGTACATGTAATATAGATTTTCTTTAAGAGATATGGATAAGGTAGGTTTTAAATACTTAAAAAGCTCTTAATGTATTAAATATTAGATTTACTTTCACTTAGTTTGTTCTTCCAGAGATCTTTCTTCGTTTTCTTTATTCAAATACTTCCATTTTCACAAAATAATTAATTCGCAAATAACTTAAAAGTTATAACTTTATCGATATCATAATTTCAATTATATTTACGATAAAGGATTATTGTAACATGTAATTGTGTAATTATATGTATGTATATGTTCCGCGTGTTGCATCACATGTCTATTTTATAAATGCTAATGCCTACGAGAAAAGGCATTTTATTAATTACATTTGTAAAATATAATCAATCAATTTAATAAATGTAATTAATGGATTAATTTTATACAAGTATAATATCTGCTAGGAAAAAAATATTATATTTATAAAATAATCTGACATATTGATCAATATGTTAACGAAACACGCGGTACATTATTATAATACATACAATTAATATAATTACATGATAATTATAATTATATATATATTTTTAGTTCTGTTTGAAACTGATTTTATTATTATTTGATCTATTTTTAGTTAATACATTGTATATGTACATTACTATTATGTTACTATTGATTCTTGTAGAAAGAAGCGATGTTATATAACATCGTTTGGAAGTAGTTTACATAAACTTTTAATCATATTTTTTATATTTAAAACAATTCTTCAAACAAAAATCACTAAAACTCTTTCAATCAATTTATTAATTGATATTTTAACAATTTACTTTTTTTTTATTAAAGCATATAATAGCAAAAAATGACTAAGACCCTATAAATTATAAATTTTATAATAGATAAGTTTCATGTGTGCAATGTGTGCTCTTATGGGCCACGTGCTCTTACACATAGACTGAGTTCGATTTGAATGCGTTCAGCACTTCTATCTTTGTCTTACATCTAATGAATAAAGGCAGAATGATAGCGTTTAAAGCGCGTGAGCGTCCAAACCGAACGCAGCCATAATATTAAACTGTGTCCACATAACAATTGTAAAATTAGTGCGAAACTAAACCACATGTATAAATATATCATATAAACGCTGTTATCATATATATATGAGGTATGATCTTTATTCTTATTACTTAGTTTTTGTTGTAATAAATAAAGTATTTGTTCTAATCTTATATTGTGATTTATGCTATCAGAATTGCTAAATTTATTTTATTGATATACTTTTATTGTATATATTGATTCAAGCTGAAAGATCCTTTGTAATTTTACAATGCATTATAATCCAAAGAGTACAATAAATTAGAGAACTACATTAATTTAAGGACGATTTATTTGATCATATTGAATATATTTCATAATAATAAAGATGGAAATTCATATAAAATTAATCTTCCTATATGTCTTTATTCATGTCAGGAAGATGTAATTGAAATAATCATTTGGGATTTTTATGAAAAGAGACGCAATGATTAAATGATCTTGTAATATTTATAATTTTATAACAAAATATTTTTACACACAAGTACGCGCATTTATGGAATTATAGTTTAAATATAAAGATATACACAATCAGCTTGAAAAATAAAAAAATATATATACTTTTAATTGAGCTATCAATGTTTAGTAACAAAACTATCAGTCTTAACAGATTTTGGCAGAAGAGATACGTTGGTTGGTTCTTATTAAATGAAAAATCATAAAAGGGGAAATTTGTCATAATTAAACATCATAATTTCTGTTGTCTTCAAATATGTATATAGCTACAAAAAAAATAATATTCAATATGTAATATACCAATAACCAACCTTTTTAATATAAATATTTGTTTTATTTAGTCGCGTTTGTTAAATCAACACTATATACAAACAATAATATGAAATATTATGGATAAAATATTAAATGCAGTATAAATAAATGCAAATTTGATTTTATCATATAATGGCCACGATCTTTTTTCTTTATCAAGCAGCAAATAAAGTCGTTTTTGTTTCAGTAATCTATAACCCACAGGATATTAATTCCAGATGATCCTGCGTTAACTCGTCCTAACATGCCGTGATCTCGCGTTTTGACTATGTATAAAAAGAGTAAGAGTGTATGAAACAAATTATTGCGGCCCTAAAAACACAAATGCCATTATAAAGCAATAAACATATGTGGTATAATATATATTTATGCGATAAGATTTCAATTACCCGTTGTACTTCCTCATAATCGCTCGGAAGAGAATCGCCAGATAGTGCCAGGCTGTAATGCGGTGGATTGATGGATTGACAGACTATTATCGGACCCTTATTTCGCGGCAGTTCCATTCCAGATCTCGCCATATATCTCGATGTAAATGACCTGGCGTCTGGCTGATCCAAGGGCGCTTCCAATTGTGTGTCCATGTAGGTTGAAATTAAATGCATTATTATCTACAAAAGACGTATAGAATGTCAGGAAAAATAAAAATTTCTAGAAGAGCACTACAATCTCTTCGATAAAAAAAATTTATAATTCTCTATACGCTTACTGCGGAATCAGTTGGCAAGCTAGAATCCCACTCTTTACCATTGTGAGATCCACCACCGTTCCATTTAAATTCGCTCATGGAGCCTCCTTTTGCAAGTATTTTTATTCGTTTTACGAGATATTCCTGATTATTACAAAGCTCTAGAAAGGGAACCAATGTGGGCAGAGTGGGAATCACACAGACCAGAAATTGTGCTTGTGCAAGTTTCCTGAGTCTATCCAGACCTACATGGCCTGGCTGTGAGTCGCTCAGGCCATGGCGTACTAATGTTGCACATATATTGTCTATCTCCAATGCCACACGTTCGACAACTGTCTTACTAATCCACTAAAATATTTTATATATACATTTTAAGTATTAAATCAAACAATTCTTGTTTTTTATAGCTAATATTTTTTATAACTAATTATTTTTTTATTCTATATATTGTAACTCACCATTCGGAGATTAGCAGTCCATTCATTTACTTTATTTGAATCAACTCTATATTTCCTCCATACATCTAGTGCACCAAATGTGCCTCTAGGAGAATTTCCTTCTTCAGCAGGGCTGGTTGCTTTTGTTTTGTCTAAATAACAATTAGATTTTTTAAAATTCTTACAGAGAAATATATACACATGACATTAAATAAATCTTAGATTTACCTATGGTAGGTGCCAGTTGATAAGCGCATCTTCTTAACAATGGTGATACCTCACCAGGACTCCGAGTAGCAGGATGAGACCAAAAGGAACTCAAGAGATTGGAAGGTTGATCAACATTTGTGGATAATACACACTTTCTTTGCTGTTCAACTTCTTTGAGATAAGTCTCAAGTTCACATTCATCCTGAATAAGATCCTCATTTGTCAAGCTACCATTTAAAGAAATGTTCGTAGATTTACTGAGCGATCCATTGGAGCACACAGTTGCTTTAGATGTAAAATTACTATATTTAAAAAATGGAACTGATGTCGAATAATCCTCTTGAAAAAAAACAAAATACAAAAAGCTGTTATGCATAATAAAATTTAAGACTAATTTTAGTACAATAACAAAGTATTTTGCATACTGTCACACAGAACCGAAGATCCAAGAGTCGTTGAACGTCTGTTAAGATTTATGCATGACAAATTTAATAATGGACTTGGCTCTGGAGTTGTCTGCTTCTGAGGCACCTCGTCCTTAAACAATGGATCATCTTCTGACACTCCTAAAAGCGGCCGTTGTTTAAGGCTCAGTGTAATTGGTTTCTGACTTAGGATCGCCCAGGTATATTGTATAATGTGATACACAGCATTCAAAGCAAATAATGATGCTAAGCACCACTCAGCCCAATAAATCGGTTTGTATGCGAATCCACCATAGAATCTAGAAAACACAGCCAAGCTTCAGCGAAAAATCATTATCATTTTAAAATACAACTTAAGATTAAAAAGTCTTACATATCAAAGACTATGATGCTAAATAGCACTCCGTTGATGAAAAACCACATGATACTATTGCGAGCTTTGCACTGCATTTGGCGTAGATCTAGTAATTGCTGTACCTGCGGCTTGGGCGTTAAAACTCTGCAAGTAATACATTTATCGTGGATTTAGAAAAAAATATTCTTTGTGGAGTATATCCTAACCTCATATAATAGTTTAAAGTATATATTTACCTCGCATTGGGAGAAATGCATTTCATAGGAGAGTGGAAGTTACTCATATTTAAAATCTATGTCAAGCTAAGTTAAACAATTACTATTATTATTATTATTATTCTGAATTCCGAGAAACTAATATACTATATAATTTCCCACACAATTCGCAACACCGCTTTGAACATATTTTAAAGTTGCTGCCAACATTAGCGTTCTATAATTTTTTCCCTTGAAAAGAAAGAATCCAATTGTCAGGGATTTTTTTTTTTTAAGATTACACACATGCTTATCCAACCAGTCCCTGTTAAACTAGGAAAACATTTTTATAATGTTAGCTACACTGTCGTTCAAAAAGGAACAATTCTTCAAAACTTCCATTAATAATTTCAACTTTCCAATATACCAATTTTGAGATTTTAACTACTACATTTATAAAGATATACAAAATACAGATATCAATTTTATTGCAGAATTTATTTTATTATATAAAAAATATATAACAATATTTATTTACACAAGATTCATTTCCAAGGTTGAGTAAGTTAACTTCTTTTTTTAACTAAGTTAAGTTAAAGTTAACAGCCTTGAAAATTTAACTTAGTTAAGATAAAAGTTAATCCATGACATTAATTGAATTAAAAATCAAGTTAATGAAAAAAAATTGAAAGTTAAAAGTTAAATTTGTTTTATTTCATGATTTTAAGTTAACTTCTTTTTAATTAAATTAAAGTTAACTTTTTTAACTAACAAGGAGAGACTCATATATATGTATTTCACGGATTTTGATCATCTTTTGCGCGATTATTCTGGGATATCAAAAAATAAAACCCCTGTAAAGTAGTTGCACTTCTGCATATTTTTCAAGAAAATTTTAAGTCATATAATTTAGAAAATTTAGAAAATTTTATTGATTTTAAGTCACGACGATGGATCGCTTTTAAACTCTTTATTTTTTGCTTAAACGTAAAT